GCCCAACATGACTTTTGAAGTTTTCGTAACTTGATATTAACCTTTCATTCAAGGCATATTGTTCTTTTAAAAAAAATTATTTTATTTAGCTTTATTTATTTATTTCAATTTGACCAGAGTGGGACAGGGTGAGAGACAGAGAGGAAGAGAGAGAGGGAGAGAGGAAGGGAGAGAGAGAGAGAGTGAGAAAGCATGCCACCAGGTCCGGGACTCAGACATGGTTGGCCATATGGGAGTCAAGTGCCCTTAACTGACCACCCCACCTGCGGGCCCCTCAAACCATATCGTTCTACTTCTCGCTTTATATTTTGGTGATACAAGCAGTCACCTACACTTAGGTGCACACAAACACATGCATACACATACACACACACTCTCTGTTCCATACTTCCATGCCTTTGGACATACTGTTTCAGCTAATGGAAATAACCGCTCCACCTTTCCCCTGGCTAACTTTCATTCCTGTCTTTAGACTTAGCTTCAGTGCACCAGGCCCAAGCTTTGCGAATCCCACAGTAGGGCTAAGCACTTCTCTTCTTTGCTTGCTGTTTTCTGTTAAAAGCTACACATGTCGATCTCTCCATCTTGACTGTCAGCTTGTCCAGGGGCAAGGCTAGGCCATGCTTGTGTGGGGACCACCACACAGAGCATGGTTTCCAGGCGAGCCAATGGTACTCTCTTCACCCTCCGACCCCCCCAACCTGTTCAGATTGTGGACGTGTTCCAGTCATCACGGGAGATTTCCTCAGTGTTTGTGACAGAAGGATGTTCCAGACAGGTGGAACCACCTAACATCCAGACGTGATGTAGGTTAGAACTAAAGGTCCAGGGCTGGCCTTTGCAGAAAAGAAATGTCTACCAGAAAGGCCTCAGGTCTCACTAACGTGTTCTTCCTGTTCTTGCTGAGTAACATCTAATCAGGGACAGGATATACCATGAGATCTGTGTGTTTTATAAGCTGCGATATATCACTGCCTTGTGCTATCGAAGAAACCACAAGTATCCTGCAGAAATGATAAAATTTAAATATAGAAATAAACTTTGCAAGGACACATATTGATAACCAGAGAACACAAGGGAGGGCGTCCACAAGGTCTGGAAACGGATCATGTCATTGTCATTTCACTTTTCATTACAGATTGCGGATGTCCTTGATGGCATGGTGTGTATTGACCTGTTTGCTGATTTAAGTTTCGGTCCGCTTGTGGAAGGAGGACCAGTGCACGGTATATTCCAACCTCCTCCAGAATAACTGAGTCTCGGATCGACTTCAGAAAATTGAACTTGTGACACTACAAACTCACCAAAACACTTGTTTTGGTAAATACCATGCCAAAAAACGGAGACGTTAGATTTTACTATGGAATCCATGTTCCTGAAATAAGAGGAGGAGACACTGTCTGCATCTCAGAACTCTCCTTGCTTCCCTTGCATGCATAGTACACGGGGTTTGGAGGTAGCCCTCCAAAATATTAGCTGAAAGCTTCCTCGGAAAGCAAATCTTTCCCACATCCTTCCCTGCAGTTCCTCTTTAAGAGGTGTCAGCATGGCTGAAAGAATGAAGTGGCTACACATTGTCTGGCCGTGCTATTATGTGCTTAACATTTCCATAACAAAAGTGCCACTCGACTTCTCCCCGATTAATGCAGCTCAAGGGCTCTTGTCGTCCTTTAATAAAACATTGTTGAAATCATTTATTTAGAGCCCCTGGTTACTAGAGGGAGAATGACCATCTTTGTGCCAAAATATAGTGTATACAGTCCACTATTTTGTAGTAGATCATTCTGTTATTTAAGAAATTGATTAAATGGATGCCTTAGAAGGTATTTATGCTAATAGCACATTACTTATGTCATTCAGATAGCCAAGGGTGAACCTTTTCAACTGTCTTCCAGAGGCAATCTCTCAAATGGAATACAGTAACATCCAACTTTACTTACCGTACTGGGCAGTGAGACCCCCTGGAAACAGCCCTGCCTTAACTACACTCTGTCTGCCAAGATCTCTGTAACCTGATTATCCCCCCATAACCTTGCTTTGAGAAGCTGGGAGCAACCCGCTCAGTTGACCATGTTTCTGATGTTCCTTGGTGTAAGAGGTCAAAACACAAATAGTGTGTGCTTTCCTTTTTACTGGCTTGAAAAGAGATACATGAGATTAAGTTAGAGAGTTTCCACAGTCAATTTAATAAGCTAATAATGCAAAGCCAAAGTTCAAAAGTAGAAACACTTTTCAATAGTGTTCGATGTCTCTGAAAGTTCTCATGTTTTTTTTTTTCCCCCTGGTGTCTCTATCCGTTACACACAACATACTGCTGACATGGAGTGAGGATGTGAACACAGAGTGGCAAGGAAGAGAAAGTCATTTCCATGCAGCTCCGCTTGACTCTTCAAGGTAGAGAGATGGGCTGACTCTGTCTTCACTTACAAGAACCCAATCTGGCAACTGTGATGCACCCTAGATGTGTTAGAGTCTGGGGGGTCCCTTAAACTTGTGACAGAAGTACTAGGGGCTGCTTGGTTCCTTACAGGCATTTTAGGGATGCTGCCCAAGAACAGAGAGGTCCTGCTTCTTCGTAGAATTTATTTCCCTCCAGCCACTTTTCCACGTTACCAACGTGTATTGCTCGCATACACTGCTATATATTGTTACAAATAAACAGAGACCTTATGTTATGTCCATTGTGATTGTATACAAAAGCGTTGCCGTGTGCTCGGGTGAGCAGTGAAGCCTGAACCTCCTTCTATTTACTGTATGGTCACTGTCAGTTCAATGAACTGCCTCCTTGTTCTGGACCATTGTCCCACACTCCCTTAAACATTTGTCACTGAAGTGCCTCCAAAGACAAATAAACTGTCACTGAGAATTCAAACCTGCTAACTAAGGCAATGGGACAGGCCGGTGGGACACATGATTTTATATGAAATCCCAAAGGAGGTCCTCTGCCCCTGGAAGACTTCTGTTCCAAGGGTGGCGTTTTGGAGAGTCCCCAGGAAAAGACAAGAGATATCTTTTCTTTTATTAATTGTTCTTCCAGGCATTCTCCATGAGACATTTGAGATGGCCAAATGTCCAAAATTCCAAAAGGTTCCCCACAGAGCATGAGATATTACAGATGTCAACATCTGTAAAAACCCTTTGTGCCTGGAAGCAGATGGTCACATACAATCCCATAACCAATAGCCAAAGGGCCTTAACATCTCAACAACCTGTGCCGGAATCCACTGGGTCTGCAGGAGAATGCAGGAGGGTCCTGGGCTGCAGTGTCTAATTGTTTAAATTAAAATGAACCACCGATCAATGTTCACTTTCTTCAAGGAAGAACACAGAAAGCCTCGTGTCCTCTCTCCCCAAGAGCGAGCTGTGTTGATTTATTCCAGGCAGATGCTTTTGACAGGACCCTGTAAAATCAAGTCGTGAGTTTATTGTCGCAGTTAATTATCAGGCCTTTCTAGTGCTAATGCCTTTTACTTCTTACTGGGGAAAACTGGGCTTTTTACTGGGACAAAGACTTAACGTTGAGTCAGGACTGTGTTAAAAGAACATGCGATGGAGATGATTTAAATATATTTAAGGACAAACACAGGAGCACCGCTCACTCCTAGTTGCAGTAAAGAAAGCTGATTTCATTTACAAGTCTCTTAGAATACTCTTTGTTCATTTCCTAAAGAAACAATGCACTGGGCTTTGTTTTAACAATATGTTTACTCAACCATTCAGGTGACTGGAGACGCCAACCACACACCACTCTCCTAGGCTGAAGTCTGATACTGCGAGGAGGATCTCAGGCTTGCTGGTAGTCTCTCCATAGGAGGCTGGGTTGTAGATGCACCCGTGGTGCCTCCAGTCTCTCCACAAAAGCTGGGGAAAGAGCGAGTTGGAGGCTAAAGAAACCTTGAAAGTAGGAGGTGGGAGTGGGTGGGAGGAAGTCGGAGGGGGCATGGCTTTGTTAATTACTTTAGGCAGCACAGAAATCTGGCTATGTTTTCTCAGCACATGTTAATATCAAATAAAGAGACACCAGATCTTGCTAATCTGTCGACCCCTCAGACAAAGTTTATTTGTGGTGACTTTTAAACTCCTGACTTGCCTTCCAATCACTGCGTTTAAAATGAAAAGCTTTAAATAAACACCAGGAATAGAAGATAAATAAACTTTTTTTTCCCCTCTTGCAAGTGCCTAGCTTGGCGAGGTTCAGGCTCAAATCCCCAGAGGACAGAGCGCTCTCTTTTGTGTTAATGTTTAAAAGATTTTCCAATGCCGGAGTTTATTCCTACTGCAAACATTTCTATTTACAAGGTCAAGTGTATCAGCACTCGACACAGCTTAAGAGTGTAATTATTTATCTAAGGGCGTTTGAGTGTAGATCAGTAGCTCTGGCAGGAACCCAGCCTTCAGCCCACTGCTAAACAACTCCTCACAACAATATTACAAGTTCTGGTAATTGTTCCTCTCTCCGTTGTGTTTACTTTTGCCCCCTGAATGTTTTGTAACAAAATTTTGTACTTTTTCACCCAAAGTGTGAAAATGACTTTGAAGTACTGAGTCTTGTAGGTTTCTTAAGCCCTATTGGTAACAGATGTTATTGGCATGTTTGATTATATGAACACCTCTGGTAGCCAAAGGACACTCTTGGGGTTAAGGAGCCACAGAAAGGGGGATGATTAACTGGAGGGGGGTGTCCCAGTGGAAGAAGGGGGGTTGTCCCAGTGAAAGAAGGAGAAGGGCAAGTGTGATGTCTGGGTTATGCCCAAGTTATATACAGGAGACACTATTTTATGAATTCTCTCCACAACCAACCAACCAATGGAGGTGAATCAATTCTATCTTTTTTAGTTGCCTCATTTACAAGTGTCTAATTGCTCATTAAAGGCAGAAATAAAAGCCCACATTTCTTGTTTCATACTGTATTTTAATTTCAGGTGATGGCTGATACATTCCCTGACCCCTTCCCAACCATCATTGGGTTAACCACAGAGTAACTCTGGAAGGACACCAGATTCATTGTTTAAAACTCTTTACTGATGTACACATTTTAATAAAAACAAACAACAAACAAAAAACCAAAGTCATAGTTATTTAAAACATAGAACTTTAAAATGATGTCTATAAAAATACAATGTTTAAGGCAGTTTGGAAATGCATTTATACATTTCTACAATGTCCATAAATTTTCTTGAAAATAAGAAGGTTAACTTCCAATCTATAAAATACACTGTACATTTCAAGACTGTTCTAAATAGAGCACACTTCACAATGGACTGTAGGTTTAGAATCATTGGTGACATGAATTCTACACTTTTCGGGTGTGTGGGGGGAAGGTGTAACATGAATGTGGATTTAAAACTTTTCATTTCTTTTTAAAAATAAATTATTTCTGAAGCATACATTTTATAAAAATTCTATATACAAAGTACAACACTGGTAACAAATCCCAGTTTTAATACTCTTTATATACGAAGTACCAGGGTTTAACACCCTGATAAGAGCAGAGGCAATATACATTCTCTGCATATTTGTACATACAATTTCTTGGCGTAGAGAACAAAAATAACGACAACAAAAATAGACATCATAAACAGTCTTTAATAGTTGGCAGTGCAGAGCTTTTTTTTTCCTTTTAAATAAAAAGTTGCATTGTTCAACCCCAGACCAACTCTTTAGATAAGCGGTTTGTGCGCCCTTAATCCTAAGAAACGTGCTGAGATAAGAGTAGTAGTAGTGAAATTAAAGTGAAGGGCTTGAAGTTATCCAGAACTACACAATGGGTTCCACCTAAGGAGAATCACCGCCACAACTGTCACTGGGAATTCTGGGCGCTGATACCAGGGGTAAACGATAAGAGGGGCTTTTCTGTTTACTTAGGATTGTAGTGTCCTCACTGGCCACATCATAAAATTCGATACCGGCACTTTCCCCCCATCCCCCCCTTTGGAAAACCGCTAATAAACAGCCTCTTTGTAAATAGAATTCCTCCTTTAAACTCCCTACTCCAATCCCAGTCCCTAGGAATAGGTCCCACAGGTCCGCATCCATCCTCTCTTCCGAGTCCAGGACTACGGTTCTGTCCCCAACACCCGTTTCCTCTCGAGCGTGCAGAACCCGGCAAGCTAGGTTTCTAGCGAGCAGACAGGTTAGGACTTTATGGAATTTGGAATCCGGACGAAAGTAAACACAAGAAGTCACCCCCGGGAGAGGACACAAGGGAAGGATCAAGAGTTGTAAGGGAGAGACCGGCTAGGCCAAATCAATTGGGAAAATGCTTAGGGAGTACACCCAACGACCCCCTCTCTGTCCCCCAAACCACAGGTGCCCCGACAGGAGAGCGAGCCGGGGAGCGCGCGCAGAAGCGGGGGTGCGGTCCTCCCGCAGCGGACCGCGGGGAGCGCGAGGGCTAAAAGAGAGGCCAGAGCAGCAACAGCAAGATGGAGGCGAGCGGGGTCCAGGCGTCTTGGGGCGCTGAGCGGCCAGCGCCGCTGCTCCTGCGCCCAGGCCCATAGGGCAGGAGTAGTCGTCCAGGCCCCCGTCCGAGCCGCTGCTGCCCGGGCCATTGCCCAGCTCCGCACCGAAGCACAGACGGGCCATGTTCTCCTTGACCGACTCGCAGATGGGCCGCTCGAGGCCGTCGCACACGCAGTCGTTAAGTAACGCCGCCTTGGGCACGGCCAGCATGTCCTCGATGACGGTGCGACACTCGTCGGTGCAGCGCAGCCCGTTGAAGAGCTTGCCACAGTAGGTCAGGTAGCGACTGAGCGCCAGATTGCAGCGGCTGTCCCGATCGCAGCGCCGCCGGGCCTCGGTGCAGCCCATGACCCCGCCCGCTCCCGGGCCGCCCGCGCCGCCGCCGCTGGTCCGGGGCAGGCACGGGTCCACGC